ACACGATTATATCCGAAAAAAAAGTGCTTTCTAAAATTGCATTAATATAGCCAATGCAAAATATATCAATACACTAGTTTAACCAGTGTATTGATATGTTTCGCTTTGGCCATTGTCTGGTTTAAATTATATTACTTTGAATTTAAGGTACGATTTATAACTGGTTTCTTTAAAATATATGTTAGAAAAAATGCACCATAAAAACTGAAAAATAAATCAACTTAATTGTGTCAAGTTGATGGTGTTTGTACATTACGAACAGTATCATTAGTAATTTGTGTTTATGAAATTTTTTATGTTCTTTTGCAACATTCCTTGGTCATTAGTTAAATAAATTTTATGTTAAATGAACTTTATATAAATAGAATGGTTAGAACATAATAAATTTAGATAATTAAAATAAATTTAGATTGTTTTAGGTTTAGAACAAAACAGTTTTGAAATTCCCAAAATACTAATTATCAATCTTCATAAATCTAAGCGCTACAAGCAAATGTTTTTTTTTAAATTTTTTATTGAGTACTAAACTCTTAGTTTAGCAAAATTAATTAAAAAAAAAATAAGAAAATTCTTTTCTATATTGGAGTCAAGATTTTCAAGTTGTTAAAGAGCTCTTAAAGTCTTTTGTTTTGTTGAATGCGTTTAATCATGTTTTTCGAACTCGCTGTATATATAATATCGACTAAACAGAAAGGACAATTTTAAATTCGTTATTATTTTAGATTCTTTTCCTATCTAAAAATAAGTGTATTTTAAAAACTGAACTTAATTTTAAGCCTATTAGCAGTGGTTTTCAGCATTTAATATTTTTTAAGCAAAACAGTAAACACTAAACCTGCTTTAAATGTTTACGTCCACCAATACTCTTAGATTGCAAATGTTTGAACTTGTTGTTGAATGAAATGTTGATATAATTTTAAATGAGAAAAAAAGTGCTTTAAAATATATAAAAATCAATTCCAATGCTTCCATACAGTTTTTAATTTAATACGAACATTTTTTTCTTAAATTTACACATAATTTATAAAAATTAACCTTATCCATTCGCAGTCATGCGATAAACTCTTCGATAACCTGATTAGTTCAGCTAACATCCCAATACTTCGACCATTCATCATTCTCCTATCGGTTGGCCGCTGCCCAACGCAGACTAATCTTAATGGCAATCTTAATTAGGGACCAAAGCTATAAGTACGAAGGTAACTAATTTGACTTCGCTGTACAGCCAAAGCATTTAGATGTAAAGCAAGTGTCAAAGATTTATTTCCCCCTTTGACCTTACATACAAAGAAGTAGCAAAGAGATCTAGTATCCAACTTCTCTGTTCAGAGCCTTTTAGAACACGTGTCACTTTCCAGAAGATTTTATTTAACTAATTTATCAACACTATATTGAATTGATTTATAAACGTTTGAAAACAAAGGGTGTTACGGGAAATTACATTTTTGAAGGAACTCAAAGTTGATTATGTAAAATATTTATTTTCTTTTATACTTTTGTTACTTCCAGAGCTGAAATTGGAGTAAATTTTTCCGCAATATATACTGACTATTTATAAACCATTTTTTAAATCATAAATTTTTTTAACAATTTAGCATTAACCATTAGCCATTTTTTAACCAAGCAAATTTTAAAAACCATTTTTGTGGATGTTTCACTCGTTTGGCGACGAGTTGCATATATATATATTGCATACATTATCACAATTTATTGTCTGTAACGAACATTAGAAGATGATATACATGGCGATTATAAAATAACTTTGCCAACGGATGGAGAGAATACCGTTTGAAGGAACATCGTAAAATTTTGTTATTAGGTGTTATGATCTATGCGCTCAAGAATGATTTGAAAAACGATTCCGCAGCTCTCACGGTCATAATGCAGTGACACGAAAAAGGCGACACTTGGCAAAAACTTAGTGACATAATTTTTTGAGCTAAAAGAATTATTAGAACTCCAAATTAGTTTTTTTTATGTGAAGATTACGCTTTAACAAAAAAAAAAAGAAAAAAAAAATTGGTGTTGCTAATAGAAAATTTTGAAATTTTTTCACTGTAACTGTAACTGTAAAGCTTCACAATTGCTTTTAACATCATTCTTGAGTGCATAATTCAAAATACCTATACACAAATTTTGATTTGTTTCACTCAAACGGTATGAGTCGGCGAATGTATTTTATAATCACCCTGTACTTTTCCTTTTGAAATTTAACTGAACTTCAATCAATTAATTAAACATCTTGACTTTTTTTTATCGAAATTAAACATAAGTTTCTTAATATTGAAGGCAATCATGTTTAAGCAATCCTGTTTTATTTAAATACTTTTTTTTAAAAATCTTTAACATGTACTTTTTCGAAAACTTTCATACACATAATATAGGGTGCAGCTATAAACCCAAGTTTACAAGAATTAATTAATCTCTAAAATAAATGTTGTTAATATGCAGCTGTCTAAAATTGAAACACGGATTAAGTAACCTCAAATGAAGGTACTATTCGGAGTTAATGAATGTTTGAAAGTTTGGATGAAAAATAATTTTTCGCTTATATTAAAGGAGTAGGGTGATTCCACTATTTTGTACCACACGTGATGTGTGAAATTAATAAATATCTGTGCCCAAAATATTTTATAAATATGTATCTATGTCTGAAATATCTTACTACCAAATATGAGTGCATGAAAATAATTTTATTGATAATTGCACTTTTTACCTAGATTTTGTCCTACATTCAAGAAAAAAACTGGGAACGACTCATTTCTAATTCATAATCACTTAACGCGCATATAAGGAAATCCTTTTTTGTTTCACTCAAAAATTAACGCTTCATGAACCCAAGATGTGATTGTTATGATTCCAAGATGAAATTGTTGCTCTTCTACCATGTGTTACAATAACATGTTGATTAATTTAAGTAAAAGCTTTAAATACACCTTTGATGAAAGTTTTATTATTCTGTGGACGTATTTGCTAAACTTGATCATTAGAATACCTAAAATTTTAGTTTGAAGACTTTTTATCGCATCGTCGTAATTGAAAAATATTAAATGCTTTTAACTTCGATAATAATTTAATTACAATCAATGCTGTTAGGTTATTAATTTTCCTTTACAATATTAGGTTTTTATTTTATACAATTTCACTAATCCCTCACACTAAACATTTGAATCGATAGGCATTTAAATAAAATATTATTTGTAAGCATGTATCTAACCCTTAAATAGGTGTGTACGTAATGTGAATACTTAAAAGCAATTTTATCTATATTTATAAATCGAATAATATGAATTGTATATTAACTTATAATGCCTAATTTTTCTTCACGTGATGTGAACATCAGCCTCATAGTTATTTTGTTTACACATTTTTGCAATTAATTTTTGTCACAAAAACTAATATTTGCTAGCCTTTACGTGCTTAAAAATATTTCACAGGTTTTCTCCTTAATATTGCAGTTGATTAATTGAAATTACTTACTGATTATACGCTCAAAAACATATCCATATATCTTGAAAAATGGAATTAGAAATCTAAGTAAAATAGAATCTAAGAAATACTATTTAGCTTCTAAGAAGCACTAATACAGCCTTTGATTAAATGTTCCTTGTACTGATTATCTGGTAAATTTTTCTATTGTAATTTAAAAAGAAAAAATATTAGTTTATATAGATACATTTTATAATAAATATGCAACATAAAATGTTTTTTTTTATTAAAAATAAATCATCCTTAAAGTCTTCCTGTAAATAATCAAAAGTGTTTTATGTATTTCTTTAGTTAAAAGAAAAAAAGTGAACAATATTTTGAACAAGAATTCATTCACTTTAGTCACGCAATATCGAAATTAGGAGTTATTTGATAGTTGAATAAAAAATTCATTTTTAAATGAATTTAGATACTGTTTTATTTTCCTGAATCGAAAACTAGACAAAATTGCCAGCAAAAATAATAAACTTGTCAGTACTGGTTAAATCGCTTACTCTAAATGACCTCTCGAAATGAAAATATGCGTGCGAGTTACGAAAAAAAAAATTTTTAAACTGGCTTCCTATTTTTCAATGATTTAAAAAGGTAGTTTCGAGAATGGAATGTTTAAACACAATAAATGCAACTTTTTCAACAAAATAAATTTTAATATTACTGCTTTAAGAGATTGTAGTTTTTATCTGAAGTCCACAACTTAATTTTTTCTATTAAATGAAATCCAGTCAGCTCAAGAATTCGTCAAAGATTTTGACAAAAGAAAAGCTTTCGGTATAGTGTGCAACTGAAAGAAGAGATAGAAAAAGCAGTGCCCGGTTATTAAGTATATGAGATTCGCTATTTTCTGTGCCACCATACGCGGCTAAGGGTGCTTCCTTTTTACTACCAGTTCAAAATCACACGAAGGGAGCGAAAGGAAGCGCCTCTAGCGGCGTATGCTAATATTTCCGTGGCATGAGCTCCTATGTAATTTTATTCCGGATGATGTGCCCTAACTTCCCTTTAAGTTTGTTGCAATACTTATGCTATCCCCTGTTACATATTATATTTTTAGATTCGTTCGTTTCGACAAAAAATAGACTAAAACTATCATTGTTAAAAAATACTGCAGCTTGGAGAGAGGAACTGATTGCAGAATCAGCGAAACAGAAGTATCTAAAATCTGTTAAAAATCTATTGCAACAGAAAGCGAAAAAAAAAAGTTCCCCAGCGTAATTTATCAACATTTTACTGAAATATGGCGATCTAGACTTGCAGTTGGTCAACGTAATTGAAATCATAGTTACTTGCATTCAAAGCTTCTCGTTAAAATTCTTAGTTGACAAAGTTGTATATTTGAAAACTTTTAAACCTTGCTATGGATATATCAATTTAACACTCGTAAAATAGAGGAAATATGATGAAGAAACTTAAAAGCTTCATGATATAAGCGGACATTAATCTTTAAACATGAGTGTATTTATAACTTTTCGTGCAATTGTTATTTAGTTTATAAATAATTCGTATTCTTTCAGCGAAAAGAGAGTTGAGAGGACTACCAGTGATTGTCTTCATACACGGGGATTCTTATGAATGGAGTTCCGGAAATCCCTACGATGGAACTGTCCTCGCTGGATTCGGAGAAGTTATTGTCATTACCCTTAACTACAGGCTTGGGATCTTGGGTAAGTAGGATATACTCTTCAGTAATAAATTTTGAAATTAAATCGCTTCACTTCTTTGTCGAGTTGACAAAGCTTAGGGACTCTTAACAGACCTTGATAATGGAATTGCTGCTTCCTTTGCGTGATCTTCCTAAAGAAATGAAAAGTAATAAATGTTATCCGAAATGGAACTCTTTCATTTAAGTATTTATTCTGTTTTTGAGTAGAAAACAAACTAAAACAGATGTTAGTTATAAGATTTGAGTCTTCATGGTATGGTAATGAAAAATGTTTAGTAATAACTATTCATTTAAATAAGATGTTTTCGTAAAATGAACACGATTGTTTATTTTATGTCATTAAAATAACACACTGTGATTATTTTGTCTTAGTAAGAGTCATTACGCCAATAGGATAAGAAGGTGAGTAAACTACCGGGGGCAATTCTAATAATGTTACTTATATGTTAAAATTTCTCTTAATTTTTCTTATAAGGTTTACAAAATTGTTCCACAATATTTTATGCAGCTAAATGACAAATCAATTAATTACTAAATAGTAAAGAATGTTTTGGGGACAGAAAGACTAATTTTTAATTTGTTTCTAACTGTTCGTTTAGACAATTTTTATTCACCGTTTTAAAAGATAGAAGATATGTTATTCATGAAAATGATTATTAGATATTTTCATAGTAAGGTTAGATTTGCATTTTGTTAAACTTACCAATCTTAAGCTAGAAAAAAATATGGTTCATCGGTATTAGACAACTATGAACGCTATGGGATTTGTATAAAATGTGGGTTAATTTTGAACAATTTAATTATTCGTTATTTATTTACTAACTTGCACTAATTTAACACAGTAATTAGCTTATCCCTTGCTTTTTCACTTTTGACCTTAAGCCATTTATTTTATTGGTTCAAATTAATTTCGTTACATTCAAAATGGGAAAAAATGCTTAAAACGCTGTTGCATTAGGATATTTTAATTAATTTTAATATGTTTTTTTTCCAAAATGTAAGCCGTCTATACTTTAATATTTTCTAATATCAGTTGCGGAATTTTCTTCATACCAATTTTTTTATTGGTTCGTCCACACACGAGTAGTATCAACTATCTTTCACTCGGTATTAATACTGCGTTTTCATTATACTCTATTTGAATAAAAACCAAGTTCCACTTAATATTTTTTTTACTAAACACAAATATTGAAAATAGATTCCTAGTGTATGGTGATTGCGTTGTTTTCTTGCGCACGTGAACTTAATTATCATAATTAATAACATAAACATTTGGTACTTATTGGAAAAACAAAAAATAATTTTATTCATATTAATTAAAAACAGGAATTATTAAATTGTATTTTCTGATTGTCAATTTGCCGTTGAATTTCCTGATAATTTTTTTCCTTGAATTGTTTTTTTAAATTGTTTTATTTTGGATTTGACTGCTTTATATTTTTGTTTTAGATTTAAATGCTTCAAAATAGATTAAATAAACGATTTTAAGAATTTCCTTTCAAAGTAAATACTATTTTTATTTCTGGTGGTAATATTTTTTAGTGATCACCACAAAGCTGAAACATTTAGAAGACTAGTGTTACGTCTTGTACATAGTTGAAGACAAAAAAAAATCATATTTTTCTGAATGAAATTTAATTTTATAGTTTTTTTCCCAACTGCCTAATGTGTAGGTTGTACTGTTTGTTTTAATGAGCTCTACCCACTTAGAATAAAATTAAAATTTACGAATTTTTTTCGAATACTAAATCCTAATTCCCATTTTCAACGAGAATTATGAATTAACCTCACGTTTACAACAAAATGTTTTTATTGCATCACTAACAGAAGCAATGCTTGAAAATGCATGCCATTGTAATTGAGATTGTCAATCTAATATTTATACTTGCACAAATTCTTCGCATTACACAATAACACTACTCAAATCATAAAGTTAAAATCCCGTTTTTTTTAAATTCATTATTATTATGCAAGTGAATTGAAGTTTGAACCTACAAAACCAAATCTTCTCTTCGCTGTCTGTGTATATAATATATATCTAACAATAAGCATTAAAATAAAGTAAAAATAAAATGAAATATGTTTTCATTTACTAAGCAAAACTATTCACAAAACTCAAGATAAGTCAGCCTATATGGTAAATAGAAGTGAGCACCGATGCCCATCTTTGAACAGTTTTGAAATATTACAGGAATTTTTTTCCTTCAAAAAATCACGCAATCTAATTGATTACACAACGACCTAACTTATAGCATTGGATTGTTTTCACTGAAAGAAGTTGAGAATTTAAACAATTCAGACTTTAAACTTATTCATATCAAAATTCGATTAAAAAACGATTATTTTTAAAAAATAAATTTAAGTAAGTAAAACTAAAAAACTAAATTGTTATTATCAATTTAGTGATGGAAATGCAAGGATTACGAACGAAAATAATTTATAATGCCATCAAACTATCACCAACAGATTCTTTCCTTTTTTTCAAAGGATAAAATGAATTGCTTCACTTTTCTTAAACGGAATTAATATCAGCGGAAAATAAGCTTCTTACGAAAGAGGCAATATAAATAATCTGTTTGTGAGCTTCGAACATTTTTCGCCTAGAAACATTTTATGAAATTTAAACTTATTAGAGTAACACATATTTGCTTTGAGTTATTATTGGATTATTCAGAAATTAATTCTATTTTTTTTTCTTTTTGAAAATTAAAAGATTGTTTTCTTATAGTACATAAATACTTTATTCGAAACTTTGGTCCTGTACGTTTCTTCATCTTTATGGCAATTGCATACCTGCCAACTCTTCCGGATTTTCCGGAAGATTTTATTTTCATATTTGAAGTGGTAGTAATTATATACTATTTTTTTCTTTTATAATCTTAATTTTTAAATGATATTGATCACCACTATTCTTACAAAAATTAAGCACATATAATAATATGCGTTACTATCATGGTTGTCAACTTAAGTTTTCTCAAATACAATGTTTTTGTTTGCTTAAAATTGAAGTTTTAATTCCATTTCAATACCACTGGGAAAAATGATAATGGAAGGGATTAAAAGTAGCTGGTATGCAATTGCATGATACAAAAGTTATAAATTGCGTCGCACGATTCCACGTTAATTGCGTTGCAGGATTCAACGCTAATTGTGTCGCACGATTCCACTCTAATTACGTTGCACGATTCCACGTTGCACGATTCTACTATATAGTTATAATTGCGTTGCACGATTCCACTTATTTAAGTCATTTTTGATGTTTTAGTCTGAAGTGCGAGGACTTTACCATTTAAAATAAAAAGGGTGAATAAAGCTAGTAATAAACCGACGATGAAAAAACTGTCGAATACGGTGGGAGTAATAGCACATCTTAGCATAAGAAGTAAAGTTTTTGGTGAAATGCCAAAACTGTACATAATCTCGCATTATTTAGGTAGAACTGTAGGTAGAACAATAGGTAGAAGTATAGGTTCAATTGTCCAGTTGATATCAATTGATGGAGGAATTTTCTATTAGAAGCTTAAGAACAATAATTAAAATGAATAATTTAATTGAAGGTCTATCAATCAACTCCGTATTTGTAGGATAATTATAACCATTGAGTATAAAATTATAACCATTGAGCAGAATATTAACTATTAGAATACACAAAAACGGTTTCATAATTGAGTCATACGAAAACAGGCTTCTGCTCCTCCCGATTTGAATAGCTTGTAGGGTAAGATTAAATGCAATCTTTGGTTTAATGGATGAAATGTAGGAAGGATATAGGAAGAAGCACCACATTATTTTTCTTCCCCTTTTAAAAATATTGCTAATGAAAAATATTGCGAAGATTATCAGAAAAATTCAATGTTCAATAAAACATTTTTTTAAGCGCAATTTTAACTTATCACCGCTTACTAGTTCATTATTAATAATAGTCAGTTATCATTAATAATAAAAGATGACGAAAAATATTAATGTAAGAAAAACTAGCTAAATGTATACCAGAAAATGACTCTTAATCTTAAAAGAAGGAAACCATCAGTGGCACGAATACCAGGAAAATGTATACCTGATAATATTCCAAGCTAATCTGACAATTCTTTTTCCCCTATTAATTCAGTTACTATCAATAATTATTTATAATAACTAATAAAAATCACCTCTTTTGATAGGACGGGATAGCCTGGTTGGTAGGGAGCAGGGTCTCTGTGGTCTTTGTATGGTTTTGATAAAAATTTCTATAGAAGCTCTAGATTTTATAAAAAAAAACCTAAAGAACTCATCACGAAGTCGAATATAAATATGTGATTATTAATGAATCTATTTTTCCATATGGCTTAAACAGCAGTATTAACTACAAAAATCTTGCCCCAAATAAGGGCATTATTACTTATAAAATTAAAACTATTTATAAAATTAGACTTAAAGTTAAATCAAATAATAATAATAATTTTCCTTTTCTTTTTTCTAATCCGAAATTCCATGAAATCCCAAATAAATTCAGATTTATTGCTAGTGGCGTCAATAGTAACATGAAAAAAATTGACATTTGCTGATTCCTAAATGAGAACTCCACGAAATTAAAGAGAATGTACTAAAAATAATAATCACGAGATTTGGAATATCAAAAATAACGCTCAAATTTTGAAAACACCAAAAGTTTGAATAAAATAAAATTTTCTTAGCTGAATTTATTTCGGAACCCTATATACCTCCCTTCCAATTGGTAAATTTCCTGATGACGTACTTAAACTTCATAGCCTATTTAAAGTTAATGATAATTTAATCTTAGGATAAATATTCCTCATTTCGATGATAAAAAGCTGAAAATTCCTAGTTCATATTGATCTTAACAATTATATTCTATTTAATGACTGACTTTTTCACCAAAAATAATGGTACGAACAATATTTTAGTACTAATGTGTGCAATATTTTTTTTCTCTTTTACCCCAGAATATTGATATGTTAAGGCATTTCATAATCGTAATCTTCTTACAAATTCCTCTTTTCT